CTTTGACCTTTCCATTTTTCTTTTTTTTTTATTATTTTCTTTCAATCTTTTGTTTATGAATATGGGCAATTATCTATATTTGTAAACTCTAATCATATTATCATCCTATCATCTTGACTGTCTTGTGGATAATTTGGAAGGAAAGAAATATGAGGGCTTTCTATGGGATAGGAAGTGATATCATTAGGATTAAAGATAGATGGTTTCACTTGTTTGGTTCTTTACTTTTGGGGCATGACTTGTATAGGGTGGATGATTTTGTGTATATGATTGACTACCTTACTAATATGTAAATACATTTTGTAAATGAGTTGCAGCTCCTTCGTGCTTTCTTAATATATTTATACTTTTTGTTTCAAAAAAAAAAATCATCCTATCATCAAATTTTGAATAATTATCTTACTAGCTTATTGAAGGAGAAATTAAATCATATACTACCATCATTAGTTTTAGTTTAGTGCATTTTACAAATAATTTTTTTAACCAAAATACCACATTAGATATAAGAAAACATTTTCTACAGAAACCCATTTTCCTTTTATAAGGTCATTTTCTGCAAACAAACAGAGATTGGGTTTCTGAAAAGCAATAATCTCATCCTCTTTTCCCTGCTTTATCAAATCCTAAGAATTGTGTTTATGCAGTTCAAGAAATTACATGATTTTATCCACACGCATGTTTAAAGTTATTTAAGTATCTTGCCAGTCCTGGAAAAGGAGCCTCGTAGTTACCTAAGATTAAAGCAAAAACATGGAACCACCAAAATTACTGAGAATTGATACAGAGATGAGCTGTGTACCTTGAAATTTTTCCTCAAGTGATAAAATATCACCTCTTTCCTTCACAGTAACACTAGGAGACAGTGAATGCATAGATCCACGTTTTCCTATAACACCAACTGTTATCTCTATCCAGCGACTCTGTCCTCTCCATAGAAGGTGTTGGGCATTTTCACTATTGGATTTGGATGAAACAATAATCTCATCAGTCTCAATGAAAGGTTCAAAAATCAGGACCTCTGGCGGAGGGTTTGGCATCTCAATCATTCCATGTGCCTGGACATTAATGATAAAGGTAAAGAATCAAAACATAAGAAGTTCAAATTATAACTATGTACATGCAATTGATAATAGCTTAGGGAGAAAATCTTATCAAAATATAATTTTGGTAACATATTTGAACATGAGCAGTTGCCTCTTTAGAGAACACAAATAAAGGGATGTCAAAATATTCACGAATTTTGAAGAGCTTACGACTCCCTTTCGATGTTTTGATATGAGTGTTTAAGAATAATTAACATACAAATTATGGATTTTTCTGTAAAATAAACTTGTTTATATTCCTTCAGTATCCCTTGCTCAAACCATTTACAATTAATTTGATTATTGCTTAACAACAATGTTTTTGTAAGCTAATAAACTACCCGTAGCCAGGATAAGTGTCATCTTTTGATTCTTATTTTTAATCTTCATAAAAAAGTGTTACATGTGCTTCAGCACGTTCTGCATTTCCTTAACTTCCTACTACAGTTAGTTCTCAACATCTTAACTGAGGCTGCACCATTATCATATTGAGATACTGTTATTTTAAAAATATAAGTAAATCCTCATGGGAATTTTATTTCTCAGTTCGTGGCGAAAGAACACAAACTTCCACGAGATAACTCATATATTTTCTACGAAGGAAAAAGCATCTGGGGAACCACACATATAAGATTAAGATCCATGGAGAAACAATAGGCATGATTGTATACCTTCAATAAACTATTAGGAGGAATCTGTAGAAGACACTCCTCCAATGCTTTTAGATAAACTTGAAGGTCTTCAGAACAGCTATATGGAGACGAACCCCCCCAAGAAAGAAAAAACCCCACAAAAAGAGAAGGCAACAGAGTATCAATAAAATTTCAGTAGCACCTAATCAAGATTCCACAAGTATAGGTATATGAAATACCACCGCTTGAACACATGATACATTCCAAAGACTCCAATCAGCCGAGGTAATAGCTGATTGTGGGATGTAAACCTACCATAACCTTGCAACGCCAGTTGAGCATCCATCCCTTGCTGGTTTAACACATATAGTCTCACACTGAAGCTTTGAGGTCAAGTCGTGCCAGATTTGTGGTATTGGCATATTGAGTAGATCCTCCTTTCTAAGAACATCTTTATTTATAGTAAGGACCCCAAAGCTTGCCAGCTGTCAATTTCCAATATATTATAATAGATTGTGCATGGAAAGATAGTCAAGTGATGCTATGGAGAAACATGCCATGGATAATATTTGTTTTCATACATTATTAAGAGCCAGCGATGTTGCAAATTTGTCCATGCAAATCCTTGAAGGCATAATGCCAGGACCTTTCAATCGAGATAATAAGGACAACGGAATAAAGGAATTAAAAAGAGATGAAATGAGAAATTCTAAATTATGATATCATATAATTGTCATACTAATGTGTTGAACAGAATATACCTGTATAAGGAACACCTCCAGCCTCCAGTAAAGACTGAAGTGTACCGTCTTCACCAATTCCTCCATGCACTGTAGATGAGCATCGGACAAGACTCATAAAGACAATAAAGAATACGAACTTAATCTCATGATCCAGCATTTGCAGATATGTCAGGTAAATTACTCATTCTTAGATGGATAAACAATGAGTTACAAGAAAGAAAAGGCAAATAAAATTCTAAACTGAAATCACCTAATAATTGCATGAAATAAAATGTATAAAAAAAATAACAAAAAGAAAAAATGCAACCTAACAATTACAGAGGAAACAGAACCTGTAATAAAAACTGTCGCTTGAACTTTCTTGGCTAGCTTGATCCACTCTGTTAATGTAAATTTAGCTGGTAGTTCATCAGCTATATCAAATCCTCGAAACCATCTGTGTTTTTCCAAACCTTCCATGAGATCATCCATCACTTGGTCCCGTAACTGAGATGTCAAAGCAGCTCTAGCTGGTTCAATTGCTTCCATGCATGCTGCCAGAACTTCCTCTATAGTGTGTCTTAGCACAAGCGAATAACTGTATTGAAAACAGAAGTGGAAAGGCAAGTACTTCAGTAGATTAGAAACAATTTAGATGGCAAAAGTATGAAATGCCCACCAGCTGAATCATTAATGTATTCGTTTCCAGCAAAAGCAACAGCAAGAAGCTAAAAACTCAAAAGCAGATGGTGATAAACATATATATTACAAAGAGCTAATTATAGCTTTATATATCACTAAAAAAAGCTAATCAAGCAGGAGTGTGGAATATACACTCACGGTAAT